TTAGGTGGCATCTCAACCTTCCTAATGCAGTGACTCCTCAATACAGTTCCTCATGTTGTGGTGACCCCCAACCATAACATTATTTTTGTGCTACTCCATAACTGTCATTTTGCTCCTGTTAGGAATCGTCATGTAACAAGTCACCTCTGCTTCACTAGAAGTAGAAGTTAGATGGTGGAGTGTGTGTATGTGTGTGTGTGTATACCCTTGTGTGTTTGAAGCAAGTGTAAGTGTTGCAATTAGCAAGCTTGAATAGCATTGCGCAGCCATGAAGCTGCAAAGTCAATCAGTGAGGGTACCTACATAGAGGTAGCAAGAGGAGTGTGTGTAATTTATATGTATGTGTGTGTATGTATGTATGTATGTGTGTGTGGAATAATGCCTAGGGTCGGAGAAAGAACCCTTGTCTGTCTGAAGCAAGTGGGAATGCTGCAGTTAGCAAGCTTGAATAGCATTGAGCAGCCATGAAGCTGCAAAGTCAATCAGTGAGGGTACCTGCATAGAGGTAGCAAGTGGAGTGATTTGTGGAATAATGCCTAGGGTGGGAGAAAGAACCCTGTCTTTCTGAAGCAAGTCTGAGTGTCTGAGTGTTGCAATTAGCAAGCTTGAATAGCATTGAGCAGCTATGAAGCTGCAAAGTCAATCAGTGAGAGTACATGCATGGAGGTCTGTTGGAAATGAGGCAAGTGCATGGAGGTCTGTGGGAAATTAGCAAGCTTGAATAGCATTAAGCAGCCATGAAACTGCAAAGTCAATCAGTGAGGGTACCTGCATAGAGGTAGCAAGTGGAGTGTGTGTGTGTATGTGTAATAATGTTCAAGGTGGAGAAAAGACCTTTGTCTGTTTGAAACAAGTATGAATGTTGCAATTAGCAAACTTTAATAGCATTGAGCAGCCATGAAGCTGCAAAGTCAATCCGTGAGGGTACATGCATAGAGGTAGCAAGTGATGTGTGTGTGGTGTGTGTTGTCTGTTTGTATCCGTGTTTTAAAACTCCAGAATCAAGACAGTAGATAAAGAACATCGCTCAGTAACTCCAGGCAGCAAGCAAGCAATCAAGGGCCAGTTAACACCTCCCAAACAGAGGGTGCCTCCAGGCAACAGCAGGCAGGCTACCCTATGCAGATCACTCTCACTGATTGACTGTACAGCTTCATGTCTCTTTCGCCTCTTTTGCCAGGGAGACGGTGGGCACCTACGACACGGTCAACGTCTTCCTTCCCCGAGATGCCGCCCAGCTCTTCCAGTCGGAGGGGATCTTCCCGCGCCGCATGGGCATTGATTCCTGGGCCGCTCACCGCGCCATGAGGAACCACCAGCGGGGCATCTTCCTCTTGTAAGCAGAGGGCAAAGGGCAGGGAGGGCAGGCTGAGGGAGCACTTACAAGCCTATCATTCAGAGGGATTCCTCCACCCCACCCTAGCCTTCCTCTGAGGCTGAGATGTTGTTGTGTTAAGTCGAATGGCAATGCAATGATGCCTCGTGCGGAAGATTGGCCATCTGACCAAGACTGTTTTTGATCCGTTTGAAGGAGGAGAGTAGTAGCCACATTGGGCTAACTTTAGCCCTCCCTCCAGATGTTTTGGATTTCACAGCCTCGTAGCTGTTAGGAATTGTGGGAGTTGAAGTCCAAAACAACTGGAGAGAGGGCTGAAGTTCCAGAAAAGGGCCGCCAAAAATGACCCAAGGTTCAGAAACACAAATGTCTTGGAGTTGGAGATGTTTAGCCTGCAGAAGAGAAGGCTAGGATTTGGAAGGATGTCCCACGGAGGAGGAAGTTCAACAGTGACAATGCAAGAGACTCCACTTTGGCAGGAAAAACGAAATGCAAAGAGACAGAATGGGGGACGATGAGGCCTGGCTCGAGAGCAGGACGTGTGAAAAAGATCTTGGAGTCCTCATGGACAACAAGTTAAACATGAGCCAACAATGTGATGCGGCGGCAAAAAAAGCCAATTGGCCTGCATCAATAGGATCATAGTGTCTAGATCCAGGGAAGTCATGCTCCCCATGCTCTATTCTGCCTTGGTTAGACCACATCTGGAATATTATGTCCAATTCTGGGCACCACAATTCAAGAGAGATACTGAAAAGCTGGAATGTGTCCAGAGGAGGGGGACTAAAATGATCAAGGGTCTGGAGAACAAGCCCTATGAGGAGCGGCTTAAGGAGCTGGGCATGTTTAGCCTGAAGAAGAGAAGGCTGAGAGGAGATATGATAGCCATGTATAAATATGTGAGAGGAAGCCACAGGGAGGAGGGAGCAAGCTTGTTTTCTGCTTCCCTGGAGACTAGGGCGCAGAACAATGGCTTCAAACTACAAGAAAGGAGATTCCATCTGAACATGAGGAAGAACTTCCTGACTGTGAGAGCCGTTCAGCAGTGGAACTCTCTGCCCTGGAGTGTGGTGGAGGCTCCTTCTTTGGAAGCTTTTAAACAGAGGCTGGATGGCCATCTGTCAGGGGTGATTTGAATGCAATATTCCTGCTTCTTGGCAGGGGGTTGGACTGGATGGCCCAGGAGGTCTCTTCCAACTCTTTGATTCTATGATTCTATAAGGTTTGTTTTCTGCTGTTCCAGAGACTCTTTGCAATCAATGACTTTGTAATTCTAGGTGCCCTAAAGGGTCCCTGACCCAACCGTGTCATAAATACTTTTGAAACATTTGAAAGCCTTTAAAAGGTTCTATGATTTTTTTCACATTGAGGCAGAGAATACCACAGAGACATACAGAGAAAGAAAGTAGCCACACACCAACTCTAGCTTCATTGAGTACACAAAGAAGGGGAATTACATTTTCTTAGCATTCACACATACTCTGTTTCCCCGAAAATAAGGCATCCCCTGAAAATAAGACCTACTAGAGGTTTTGCTGAATTGCTAAATATAAGGCCTCCCCTGAAAGTAAGACCTAACAAAGTTTTTGTTTGGAAGCATGCTCCCCCTGGTGGCCGGAGGTTGCAATGCCATTTCTGCTGTACAAAGGTATATAAACTTTCATTCATTCATCATACGTACATTACCATCTCTTCTTCCTTCTCCTGAAAAAATAGAGCCAAACATAAGCCAAATTGCATTCCCAGCAAATCTGCCATTCTGCGAATACACCATCTTCCTCCATCCCTTTGGAGAAGGTGGCGGGTGGATCACACTCCTCTGATCTGCCACACTTTTGGAGTAGTAAAGTGTCTCTTATATAGGAATATTTCTTGCTGATGTTGTTATGAAAGCTGTAAATGAATGGCAGGTGTTTTCCAGCTAAAACATCCTGACTCCATCAATTCCTGGACAGATACTGGTTTTCCTTCTTAAGGAGCCTCGTTTGATTCCTTCTTAATGTAAGAAACCTTGTAAACACTTCCTTAACTAAAAAACCCATTGTCTTTGGTAATGTAGAAATGTTGTTTTCCACCAAGGGTTAATCATGGCCATATAGCCCGAAAAAACCTACAACAACCCGGTTAATCATTTCTCTCTGGTCATCCATATCAGCAATGGAGCCCCCGGTGGTGCAGTGGGTTAAACCCCTGTGCCAGCAGGACTGAAGACCAACAGGTCGCAGGTTCGAATCCGGGGAGAGGCGGATGAGCTCCCTCTGTCAGCTCCAGCTCCTCATGCGGGGACATGAGAGAAGCCTCCCACAAGGATGATAAAAACATCAAATCATTCGGGCGTCCCCTGGGCAACGGCCTTGCAGACAGCCAATTCTCTCACACCAGAAGCGACTTGCAGTTTCTCAAGTCGCTCCTGACACGACAAAAAAAAAAATCCATGTCAGCAGTTCAGCAGTTTTTAATTACAGCTCATGAATTCTCCTTTTGTAATCTTTTAGGCTTCCATCTTGGCATCTCGAGGCCCCAACCATACGTTTTTCATTTAATTTCACTCAAACCACTTATCGTATTTATCACAACTGCACCCCCTTGAGGTTCCTCATGTGCATGTCCTCTTTTGCAGGAATGGGGAGAAGTGGCGCTCAGACCGGCTGGTCCTCAACAAGGAGGTGATCAGCCCGCTGGGAACCCGCAAGTTCCTGCCCTTCCTCAACACTGTGGCCCAGGACTTTGTGGACTTCATGCACCGGCAGGTCCGGAAGAACGCCCGGCGCTCGCTGACTGTCGACCTCTACCACGACCTCTTCCGCTTTGCCCTGGAAGGTGACTACTATTTGCCAAAACCCACTTTTCAATCACTCGGTGCTCCTCTTTTGTCCCTCGTAGACAAAGCAATAGCTAGGAGAAACTCCCCAAACAAGCATTGGCTGTGGCCCCAGAAACCCCTTTGGCTGTTGGAGCCATTGGACTTTAGGCAGCAAGGGTTTTCCACAGGCCTCTGTCCTATTCAATCATGATTCTGCGTCCATGGCTTGAAAATATCTTCAAAAATATTTTTAAAAACAAGTCTTGATCTTGCCATTTGACATCACAGAGCCATTGTCCTTCTATATTCCGTATAATGGGATTTAAGCATCCATGGATTTGGCGATCCTGGGACCCCGGTAGACACCAAGGCCCTTGTCTATTTGAAGCAAGTGTGGATGTTGCAATTAGCAATCTTGATTAGTATTGAGTAGCCTTGCAATTGCAAAGTCAATCAGTGAGGGTTGAGGTTGTTGTAGGTTTTTTCCAGGCTATATGGCCATGTTCTAGAGGCATTTTCTCCTGACGTTTCGCCTGCATCTATGGCAAGCATCCTCAGAGGTAGTGAGGTCTGTTGGAACTAGGAAAAAAGGGTTGATATATCTGTGGAATGACCAGGGTGGGACAAAGGACTCTTGCCTGCTGGAGCTAGGTGTGAATGTTTCAACTTACCACCTTGATTAGATATAATGGCCTGACAGTGCCTGGAGCAATCTTTTGTTGAGAGGTGATAAGATGTCCCTGATTGGGTTGTTGTAGGTTTTTTTGGGCTATACAGCTATGTTCTAGAGGCATTTTCTCCTGACATTTCGCCTGCATCTATGGCAAGCATCCTCAGAGGTAGCGAGGTCTGTTGGAACTGGGAAAATTGGGTTGATATCTCTGTGGAATGACCAGGGTGGGACAAAGGACTCTTGTCTGCTGGAGCTAGGTGTGAATGTTTCAACTGACCACCTTGATTAGCATTTGATGGCCTGGCAGTTGTTTGGTGTGGCTTGCTGGTGACTGGGGCAATCTTTTGTTAAGAGGTGATTAGATGCCCCTGATTGTTTCCTCTCTGTTGTTTTGCTGTTGTAATTTTAGAGTTTTTTTAATACTGGTAACCAGATTGTGTTCATTTTCATGGTTTCCTCCTTTCTGTTGAAATTGTCCACATGCTTGTGGATTTCAGTGGCTTCTCTGTGTAGCCTGACATGGTGGTTGTGAGAGTGGCCCAGCATTTCTGTGTTCTCAAATACTATGCTGTGTCCAGGCTGGTTCATCAGGTGCTCTGCTATGGCTGACTTCTCTGGTTAAAGGAGTCTGCAGCGCCTTTCATGTTCCTTGATTCATGTTTGGGAGCTGTGTTGAAACATTCACATCTAGCTCCAACAGACAAGAGTTCTTTCTCCCACCCTGGACATTCCAATTTTCCTAGTTCCAACAGACCTCACAACCTCTGAGGATGCTTGCCATAGATGCAGGTGAAACATCAGGAGAGAATGCCTCTAGACCATGGCCATATAGCTCGAAAAAACCTACAACAACCCAGTGATCCCGGCCATGAAAGCCTTTGATTACATTCTCACTGATTGACTTTGCAGCTGCAAGGGTATTCAATACTTATCAAGCTTGCTAATTACAACAATCACACTTGCTTCAAACAAATAAAGATTCTTTCTCCCGCCCTGGACATTATTCCATACACACACACACACATTATATATATATATATATATACTCTGTGCGTGTGTGTGTGCACTCCACTTGACTCATTTCCAACAGGCCTCTGAACAAACCTCTGAAGATGCCATTAGCCGCGGATGAAGGCAAAACATCAGGAGAGAATGCTGCTGGAACATGGCCTACAGCTTGAAAAACTCACAGCAACCCAGTACAATTTCATTCCATCCATTCATCCCATAAAGAGCTCTGCTTTTGCCTTCATGCCCGACTGTGTCCTGATTTGACCTTCTGGCTGCTTAGCACTCTGGGCTTCCGAACCCTGTGATTTGGGGAACTGAAATTGCAAAATGGAGACATAGAGAGCAACCCCCCTCTGAACTCTTGCCTTTGCTGCATGTTCATTGCGATGTTTCTTCCCTCCCTCCCTCCTTCTCTTCCTTCTCTCCCACTTCCCTCCTGCCGGACGCCCTCCCTGCGGAGCCAGCCAGCAGCTACGCCTTGTACGGGGAGCGTCTTGGACTCTTGGAGGAGAACCCCAACCCGGAGTCGCAGAAGTTCATTGTGGCGGTGGAGACCATGCTACAGACCACACTGCCCCTGCTCTTCCTCCCGCCGGGGGTCGTGCGCTGGGTCAACCCCAAGCTCTGGCAGGACCACATGGATGCCTGGGACGCCATCTTTACCCACGGTCAGGGTCATGGGTGAGCGGTCAGCAAAGGGGCAGTCAGGGCAAGCAGCGGCCCATGGGTCAGTTGACATTGTGATCTGCCCTGAGTCCCCTGCGGGGTGAGAAGGGTGGAATATCAATACTGTAAATAAATAAATAAGTAAATATGACAGCAACAACCTGATCAGTGACTAAAATAATTAAGCAATGTATCAAGGTAAAGGAAGATGAGGTAGCAGATAGCCAGTGTTCCTGGGTTATGTGTGCCCGAAAGCGGGCATGGGAGATTATGGGATGGGAGATGGAAATGGTTTTTGAGCCCTGCCTGTGCCTCTTGCTCCTCCTCCAGCGGACAAGTGCATCCAGAACATCTACCAGGAGTTCTGCCTGGGCCAGCCTCGCAAGTATTCAGGGATCATGGCCGAACTTCTGCTGCAGGAGGAAATGTCCCTCGACTCCATCAAGGCCAACATGACCGAGTTCACCGCTGGTGGTGTTGACACGGTGAGTGGACCTCCCTTGCGTTGGTCACACTCTCTCAGCCTCAGAAGAAAGCAAGGCAAAGCCTCCCTGGAATAACAACAAATATCCCTGTATTTACTCCAGCCTAATGCACCATCAAATCTAAGAATCACCTCCATTTTCAAAACCCTATAACCAAAAAAGTATTTGCTGACCAATGTAGTGTGCAGCAGCAAAAAGTGCACTCTGTGTAACTGTTGGGGTTCAGCCTGTGTGTGAACCTGAACCTGATTCTCTGATTGGATTTCCTGATGCCAATGTAGATGTCAATGTGAATTCTGAGGCCAATTTAGATTATGATGGTTTGAGTAGTGAAAATCCTACAGCCTTGGAAAGTGAAAGTCAAGATTCCCATGAGAACATGCATTCCAAGCCGAGCGGAGATGTTTCACGCCCTTTTCCTCCCAGTCTTAGTTCTCCAGAGATTCTGACACCTGGTCTGCCTAATGAGGTTAGGCGTGGGCAGATTTGGCAGAGCCGGGGTGAAGCACAAAGTTTACGTAGGTCAGCCAGATTGAGAGAAATGCAAACAAAATCTTCAGGTGTGTCTCGCAATAGATTTCTCAGCCTTAAATATGCCTGGCCTGAATGCAGCTTCAGACCAGGCATCGTTCCAGATTCATGTGCAAGCTTTTGCAGGTCTCCTGATTCAAGTGGCCTTGTCCTCGGAGGTTTTCTAGTTGTACCAAGTACGGTTAGTGCATTGCTAACAGTTTCCAGGATTCAGCAGTTTGCTGTGGATTTCATTATCTTGTTTGTGGACATTTCTTGTTCCTGATTTTTACTGTGACTCTTTACCTTTGCATATTTCTTCTATTTTGTATTCATCTTTCATCAAAAAAAGGATTGTTTTCCTGAAGTCAAGTGTGGTGGATTGTTGTCTGAGGGTCCAGTTTCCTGCTCTGGGTTGCAACAGTAACATGCCCACAGGGCCGCCCCTAGTTTATTTTCAAGTGTAAGAAAACAGTATTTTGGCGGCCCCCCCAAAACCAATCACTGAAAAATAAAAGGTAGATGGTAGAGGTGAATAAAAGGGTTACCTTACAAACCAGAAATTTACTTATAACATTATGTTCATATACTTACATTACATAGAATTAACACAGATTAATGCATCACTGACAAAGGCTAAGCCACTGCAAAATAGAAAATCAAATCTACCCTTGTCCATTACAGTTCCTCATGTTGTCATGACCCCCAAGCATAAAATTATTTTCATTGCTACTTCAGAACTGTCATTTTGCCACTGTTATGGATTGTAATGTAAATATCTTATATGCAGGATGTATTCTCATTCACTGGTCCAAATTTGGCACAAATACCCAATACGCCCAATTTTCAATACTGGTGAGGTTGAGGTGGGGGTTGATTTTGTCATTTGGGAGTTGTAGTTGCTGGGATTTATTGTTCAATTACAAGGGGGATTGGTTTTGTCCTTTGGGAGTTGTAGTTGCTGGGATTTATAGTTCGCCTTCCATCAAAGAGCATTCTGAACTCCACCAGTGATGGAATTGAACCAAACTTGGCACACAGAACTCCCTTGAGTTTTGGAGTTGTAGTTCACCTACATCTAGAGAGCACAGTGGACTCAAACCATGATGGATCTGGACCAAACTTGGCATGAATACTCAAGATGCCCAAACTTAAATATTGGTGGAGTTTGTGGAAAATAGAGCCTGACATTTAAGAGTTGTAGTTGCTGGGATTTATCGTTCACCGGATAACGATGAACCGGATAACGATGGAGCCCCCGGTGGTGCATTGGGTTAAAGCCCTGTGCCAGTAGGACTGAAGACCGACAGGTCGCAGGTTTGAATCCGGGGAGAGGCGGATGAGCTCCCTCTGTCAGCTCCAGCTCCTCATGCGGGGACATGAGAGAAGACTCCCACAAGGATGATAAAGCATCAAAATCATCCGGGCGTCCCCTGGTCAACGTCCTTGCAGACGGCCAATTCTCTCACAACAGGATGCACCTGACATGACAAAAAAAAATCGTTCACCTATAATCAAAGAGCATTTCGAACCCCACCAACAGTAGAATTGGCCAAACTTCCCACACAGAACACAATTGTGGGAGTTGCAGTCCAAAACACCTGGACAGAGGTCCGAAGTGTAGATGCACCCAGGTGCAAGGGATGTTGGTGCCTTCAACAGGACTGATGCTCATTGCCCTCTTTGTCTTGCTTTGTGTCTCCCTTTCTGGGCTCCAGACAGCCGTCCCGCTGCTCTTCTCACTCTTTGAGCTGGCCCGCAACCCCCAGGTCCAAGCGTCCATCCGAGAGGAGATCCAGGCGGCCGAGAAGCAGGGCTTTGGGGAGATCTCCAAGGTCCTCAACAGCCTGCCTCTGCTCAAAGGGGCCATCAAGGAGACTCTCCGGTGAGGGAAAGCCTTTGGGGATTCAAAGGGCAACGGGGGTTCCACGGTGATCCCAGATAGCTCATATGCCAGGCTCAGAATCCAAATTACCTTCATAGGTGAGAGGGCAGACTGGCCAAAACACACTTAATGGATTTCAGTTGGGAGAAAAGTAGCTCTGTTATGAACTGCCTGGCAAGGGTGCTCACCAAAATTAATCACCAAAGTTCCAAATCGAAGACGCACCTAGAACCAAAGACAGTAGACAGAGGCATTTTATTGCACGCTTGTCCAAGATGCAAAGCCTGTGGCCTCCTTAGTGTCCAGTTCTGGGCAAAGCAATTCAGGAAAGAGGTGAACAAGAGGGGAAGTGTCCAGAGGAGGGTGACCTAGTTTGCAGACGACACCAAATGGGGAGGGAAAGCCAATCCTCCAGAAGACAGGAGCAGAGTTCAAAACAATCTTCACAGATGAGAGAGATGATGGGCCAAAACTAACACAATGTTTAACAGGGACAAATGCAAGAGACTCCACATAGGTAAAAGAAATGGAAAAGGCAAAGAGAAAGGAGGGGGGGGGATGCCTGGCTTGAGAGCAGCACGTGTGAAAAATATCTTGGAGTCCTCGTGGACAACAAGTTAAACATGAGCCAGGAATGTGATGCAGCGGCAAAAAAGCCAATGGGATTTTAGCCTGTATCAATAGGAGCCTAGTGTCTAGATCCAGGGGAGTCATGCTACCTTGCTCTAGTCTGTCTTGGTTAGACCACACCTGCAATCACACTGTGTCCAATTCTGGGCACCACAATTGAAGGGAGATGTCAACAAGCTGGAATGTGTCCAGAACAAGCACTATGAGGAGTGGCTTAAAGAGCTGGGCATGTTTAGCCTGAAAAAGAGACAGCTGAGAGGAGACATGATAAGGACCATGGATCAAGATGTTAGGAGAAGTCATAGGGAGGAGGGAGCAGGCTTCATTTCTGCTGCGCTGGACACTAGGATGCAATGGAACAGTGGCTTCAAACTACTAGAAAGGAGAACATTAGGAAGAGCTTCCTGACTGTGAGAGCTGTTCAGCAGTGGAACTCTCTGTTCCAGAGTGTGGTGGAGGCTCCTTCTTTGGAAGCTTTTAAACAGAGGCTGGATGGCCATCTGTTGGGGGTGCTTTGAATGCAATTTTCCTGCTTCTTGGCAGAATGGGGTTGGACTGGATGGCCCAGGAGGTCTCTTCCAACTCTACGATTCTATGATTCTACAATAGACAGAGGTATTTCATTACATGCTTGGTCAAGAAGCAATGCCTGTGGACTCCTTAGGTCAGACCCCACCTGGGGTGATAACTCAGTGTCCAGTTCTGGGCAAAGCAATTCAGGAAGGAGGTGAACAAGAGGGAAAGTGTCCAGAGGAGGGTGACCAAAATGGCCAAGGCTTAAAGAGGAGTGGCTGAAAGAATTGGGGATGGTTCATCTGGAGATGATAAGATTGAGAGAAGGCAACATGAGAGCCATGTTTGAATATTGGGAAGAGGGTCCCATTGAGGAGGAAGGGGCAAGGCTTGTTTTCTGGGACACAACGGAGCCATGGATTCAACTGGCAGGAAAAGAGATTCCACCTCAACATGTAGAAGAACATGCCAAGAGCTCTTCATTAATGGAATATGGCAGTCTGGTGAAGTCTTCTTCTCACATGTAGAAGAACCTCCCAATGCCAAGAGCTCTTCATTAATGGAATATGGCAGTCTGGTGGAGTCTTCTTCTCACATGTAGAAGAACCTCCCAATGCCAAGAGCTCTTCATTAATGGAATATGGCAGTCTGGTGAAGTCTTCTTCTCACATGTAGAAGAACCTCCCAATGCCAAGAGCTCTTCATTAATGGAATATGGCAGTCTGGTGAAGTCTTCTTCTCACATGTAGAAGAACCTCCCAATGCCAAGAGCTCTTCATTAATGGAATATGGCAGTCTGGTGAAGTCTTCTTCTCACATGTAGAAGAACCTCCCAATGCCAAGAGCTCTTCATTAATGGAATATGGCAGTCTGGTGAAGTCTTCTCACATGTAGAAGAACCTCCCAATGCCAAGAGCTCTTCATTAATGGAATATGGCAGTCTGGTGAAGTCTTCTTCTCACATGTAGAAGAACCTCCCAATGCCAAGAGCTCTTCATTAATGGAATATGGCAGTCTGGTGGAGTCTTCTTCTCACATGTAGAAGAACCTCCCAATGCCAAGAGCTCTTCATTAATGGAATATGGCAGTCTGGTGAAGTCTTCTTCTCACATGTAGAAGAACCTCCCAATGCCAAGAGCTCTTCATTAATGGAATATGGCAGTCTGGTGAAGTCTTCTTCTCACATGTAGAAGAACCTCCCAATGCCAAGAGCTCTTCATTAATGGAATATGGCAGTCTGGTGAAGTCTTCTTCTCACATGTAGAAGAACCTCCCAATGCCAAGAGCTCTTCATTAATGGAATATGGCAGTCTGGTGAAGTCTTCTTCTCACATGTAGAAGAACCTCCCAATGCCAAGAGCTCTTCATTAATGGAATATGGCAGTCTGGTGAAGTCTTCTTCTCACATGTAGAAGAACCTCCCAATGCCAAGAGCTCTTCATTAATGGAATATGGCAGTCTGGTGAAGTCTTCTTCTCACATGTAGAAGAACCTCCCAATGCCAAGAGCTCTTCATTAATGGAATATGGCAGTCTGGTGAAGTCTTCTTCTCACATGTAGAAGAACCTCCCAATGCCAAGAGCTCTTCATTAATGGAATATGGCAGTCTGGTGAAGTCTTCTTCTCACATGTAGAAGAACCTCCCAATGCCAAGAGCTCTTCATTAATGGAATATGGCAGTCTGGTGGAGTCTTCTTCTCACATGTAGAAGAACCTCCCAATGCCAAGAGCTCTTCATTAATGGAATATGGCAGTCTGGTGAAGTCTTCTTCTCACATGTAGAAGAACCTCCCAATGCCAAGAGCTCTTCATTAATGGAATATGGCAGTCTGGTGAAGTCTTCTTCTCACATGTAGAAGAACCTCCCAATGCCAAGAGCTCTTCATTAATGGAATATGGGAGTCCGGTGGAGTCTTCTTCTCAAGAGGGCTTTCAACAGAGGCTGGGTGGTCATCTGTCGGTGTCTTTTTGTGTAGCTAGATGGCTTTTGGACTTGCTCCCAACTCTAGGATCCTATGAAATGGGCAACCAAAAGGCAAGGAAAGGGTGTGCCCCTCTTTGGTATAAAACAGGTCAATGAGACCCCCAAACTCCTTGGTCCCTTTCCATCTCCATTGTGACCATCTTCTCTCTTGCAGGCTGTACCCAGTGGGCATCACCGTCCAGCGCCATCTGACCCAAGACATGGTGCTCCAGAATTATTGTGTACCTGCCGGGGTCAGTATTTCACAGAATGAGGTGTTTCCCCCCCGCCTTATCAATGCCAATGGCTGCTGCAATTCAAACCCCACTCTATTTATTTATTTATTTATTTATTTATTTATTTCTCGTGTCAGGGCAGCCAGTCAATTATATTACATTTCTAACAGAACAAAGCAAACAAACAGACAAAATACAAAATTTGTGAGTTTGGTAGTTGATTAAATGTCCTTTGACCAGTATCTGGCCACTTGGAGTGCTTCTGGTGTTGCTGCAAGAAGGTCCTCCATGTGCATGTGGCAGGGCTCAGGGTGCATTGCAGCAGGTGGTCAGTGGTTTGCTCTTCTCCACACTCGCATGTCGTGGACTCCACTTTCTGGCCCCATTTCTTGAGGTTGGCTCTGCATCTCGTGGTGCCAGAGCGCAGTCTGTTCAGCGCCTTCCAAGTCGCCCAGTTTTCTGTGTGCCCAGGTGGGAGTCTCTCATCTGGTATCAGACATTGATTGAGGTTCTGGGTTTGAGCCTGCCACTTTTGGACTCTCGCTTGCTGAGGTGTTCCAGCGAGTGTCTCTGTAGATCTTAGAAAACTATTTCTAGATTTAAGTCGTTGACGTGCTGGCTGATACCCAAACAAGGGATGAGCTGGAGATGTCTCTGCCTTGGTCCTTTCACTATTGGCTGCTACTTCCCGGCAGATGTCAGGTGGTGCAATACCGGCTAAGCAGTGTAATTTCTCCAGTGGTGTGGAGCGCAGACAACCCGTGATAATCCGGCATGTCTCATTAAGAGCCACATCCACTGTTTTTGCGTGGTGAGATGTGTTCCACACTGGGCATGCGTACTCAGCAGCAGAGTAGCATAGCGCAAGGGCAGATGTCTTCACTGTGTCTGGTTGTGATGCCCAGGTTGTGCCAGTTAGCTTTTATATAATATTGTTTCTAGCACCCACTTTTGGCTTGATGTTCAGTCAGTGCTTCTTGTAGGTAAGAGCACGGTCCAGAGTGACTCCCAGGTATTTGGGTGTGCTGCAATGCTCCAGTGGGATTCCTTCCCAGGTAATGATCCTCAGAGCTCGGGATGCTTCTCTGTTCTTGAGATGAAAGGCACATGTCTGTGTTTTAGATGGGTTAGGGATCAGCTGGTTTTCCCTGTAATAGGCAGTAAGAGCACCTAGAGCTTCGGAGACCTTCTGTTCAACCATCTCAAAACTCCCTGCTTGAGCAGTAACCCCACTCTACTGACTCAACAGAACAAACTGCAGCCCCCCAGGTGTTGCAGTATCACAACTCCCATCCTCTCTGGCCGTGATGTTTAGTAATGGGTAATGGGAAATACAGGAGTTGTAGTCCAACATCTGGAGAAGGACATGGCAAGCCGGATTCAGGAGTGTTTCAGTTGGGCATAACCACATGACATTAGAGGGTCAGACTAGATGGCCCTTGGGGTTTCTTCCAGCTCTAAGCTTCTCATACTCCAGTGTTCCTGAAGACTCTAAAGTGTCATCAAACAGAGGTTGGATGGGCATGTTTCAGGAATGCCTTTGCTGCATGATATTCAGGGATTGGACTAAGATTCCAAGACTACAGCTGTTCCTAGGCTTTTAACTCGAGGTCAGATGGCCTTCTGTCAGGAGTGCTTGTGTTGGGCATGTCTAGATGACATTAGAGGCTGGACTAGATGACCCTTGGAGGTACCTTCCAAGAATCTATGACTCCACAGTGTTCCTGTATCTTCAAATAGAGATCAGGTGGCCACCTGCCAGGAGTGTTTGCGTTGGGCATGTTTTCATGGTATTGGTGTCTAGACTAGATGGCCTTTGGAGGTCCCTTCCAAGATTCTATGACTCCACAGTGTTCCTAGGTTTCAAATAGAGGTCAGATGGCCATCTGTCTGGAGTATTTTAGTTGGGCATGTCTGCAAGGCATTAGGGACTTGAGTAGGTGGTCCTTGGGAGGTCCCTTATATCTCAAGACTCTAAAGTGTCTTCAAACAAAGGTTGGATGGGCATTTTTCAGAAATGCCTTTGCTGCATGTTATTCAGAGATTAGACTAAGATCCCAAGACTCTACAGCTGTTCCTAGGCTTTTAACTTGAGGTCAGAGGGCCTTCTGTCAGGAGTGCTTGTGTTGGGCATGTCTACATGACATTAGAGGCTGGACTAGATGACTCTTGGAGGTACCTTCCAAGATTCTGTGACTCCACAGTGGTTCAAATAGAGGTCAGGTGGCCACCTGCCAGGAGTGTTTGCGTTGGGCATGTCTTCATGGCATTGGTGTCTGGACTAGATGGCCTTTGGAGGTCCCTTCCAGGATTTTATGACTCCATAGTGTTCCTGTATCTTCAAATAGAGGTCAGGTGGAAATTTGTCTGGAGTGCTTGAGTTGGGCATGTGTGCATGGCATTAGGGACTGGTCTAGATGACCCTTGGAGGTCCCTTCCAAGAGTTTATGACTCTATGGTGTTCCTAGAGCTTTAAATAGAGGTGAGATGGCCATTTGTCTGGAGTGTTTGAGTTGGGCATGACTGCATAGCATTAGGGACTGGTCTAGATGATCCTTGGAGGTCCCTTCCAAGAATCTATGACCTCACTATATTCCTAGAGCTTTAAATAGAGGTCAGATGGCAATTTGTCTGGTGTGCTTGAGTTGGGCATAACTACATGACATTGGGGATTTAGACTAGATGACCCTTTGGGTTCCTTCCAGCTGTAAGCTTCTAATACTCCTGTGTTCCTGGGACTTTAACTGGAGATCAGATGACCACCTGTCAAGAGTACTTGAGTTGGGCATGTCTGGGGCTGGACTAGATGGCCTTTGGAGGTCCCTTCCAAGAATATGTTCCTGGATCCTCAAATAGAGGTCAGATGTGCATCTTTTGGGAGTGCTTGGCGTTGGGGGTTGGACTAGATGTCCCTTTGGGCTCCATTGATTCCTGGTCCATGTGTCTTTCTGCAGACCTTGTGCCAGGTGGGACTGTATGTCCTGGGCCGGAGTCCTGAGGTCTTCAGCCACCCAGAACGCTACGACCCGACCCGCTGGCTGGGTAAGGAGGACAATCACTTCAAGGCCCTCTCCTTCGGCTTCGGGTCACGCCAGTGCATTGGCCGGCGGTTGGCCGAATCGGAGATGATGCTCTTCCTGATGCACGTGAGTCCCTGTGGGTATGGAGAGAGCACCAAACAGCCTGGCTCTGTGATATTCGCTCCTGGACATCTAGTTTGGAATGGCACTTGCCTGCTTTGCAAGGAGAAGACCTTGCAAAGCTACAACTTTTGTCAAGCAATTTAGAATGGCTGTGGATAGGCCCAAGCCATTGTGGGTTGCCTGGTGAGAAAGAGAAGCCAATATTACAGAATAAATCTCACCAAGTTGAAGAGAAAACCACCGAGTTTTTTATTTCATCCCAGCTGAAAAGGATGATGATTGCAGTAATCTGCCAACAAAATCGACATGACCACTGGGCAAAAAGATACAATATTTATACAATATTCAGATTCAAAAAGTTCCCATGCCCACCCTTCTCCCCCCTCTCCGAGCTGGCTTTGTTATGATTGGCTGTGATGTCAGCAAACCAGCAGGAGAGCCAATGGTGGCCTGAGCCCTGCTTTGGCCTCTCAGCCAATGTCAACAAGGAAAACAATGAAGAAATGTCTCTTTGTCAGGATTAAGATGACTGTTTGCCTAATGATACAGTGATAGCTTAGCTCTCAAGCCAGAATCTGAGTTGTTGTTTTAATCTTTTGAATCATCATCTCTGTCTAGCGCCCAAGGGGTTACATCAGTGGTTCTCAACCTGGGGTCCCCAGATGCTTTTGGCCTACAACTCCCAGAAACCTCAGCCAGTTTATCAGCTGTTAGGATTTCTGGGAGTTGTAGGCCAAAAACATCTGGAGACCCCAGGTTGAGAACCACTGGGCTAGATCCTTTATTTCATAGTCCTGTGGTATGGGGTTCATGGATGAAGCTGAAGTTGGTCTTGGCCGGTTGGGCTTGATACAATGGAAGGGCTGTGGTGAAATTCCTGGTTCCTAGAAGATAGGAAGACATCCTTTGTGTTGAGTGATTCAAATGTCCATAGGTCAGCGTTTCTCAATCTGGGGGTCGGGACCCCTGGGGGGGTCACCAGGTGGGGTAAGAGGGGTCACCAAAGACCATCGGAAAACACAGTATTTTCTGTTGGTCATGGAGGTTCTGTGTGGGAAGTTTGGCCCAATTGTATCCTTGGTGGGGTTCAGAATGGTCTTTGATTGTTGGTGAACTATAAATCCCAGCAACCACAACTCCCAAATGTCAAGGTCTATTTTCCCCAAACTCCACCAGTGTTCACATTTGGCCATATTGAGTACCTGTGCCAAGTTAGGTCCAGGTCCATCCTTGTTTGAGATGACAGTGCTCTCTGGATGTAGGTGAACCACAACTCCAAAACTCATGCTTTTTTATTGTAGGTTAACTATAAATCCCAACAACTACAAATCCCAAATGACAAAAATCAATCCTCCCCCCCCCCCCACTCCAACCCTATTAGTATTCAAATTTTGACATAATGGGTATTTGTGCCAAATTTGGTCCAGTGAATGAAAATCCATCCTGTATATCAGATATTTACATGACGATTCATAACAGTAGTAAAATTACAGTTATGAAGTAGCAACGAAAATAATTTATAGGGTTGTGGGTCACCACAACATGAGGAACTGTATTAAGGGGTTGCGGTATTAGGAAGGTCGAGAAACACTGCCATAGGTCTTCTCTTTCCAGATGGTCTAGCCTTTTGCCCACCGAGATCTGGTCTGATAAGAGCTATTTATTCTTATTGTCCATGCAAGTGGGCTTGGTGAAACCATTTGTTAAGGGATTACCAGCTCAGGAGCCGTGAAGGGACTTCCTGAGCCACGAGAGTTGCTGGTTTTAGAAAACAGTGGCTTTTTTCTTCATATTTTCATATAAACACATATGCCGCCGCGCCTGGGGGCTCTTAGTGAAAGAGACATAGATGTGACATCTTTCCCCCAGGGGATTGCTTCTTGCCTTCCTTTAGAGAACTGGAACTCCCAAGGACCAAAACACTGTAGATAACTCAAAATAGGTTTTATTGTTCACAAAGAGTTATCCCTTTATGGCAATAAGCTGGAATTTTTAAAGGGGTAAAGGAAATATACATTACATCCTCTGGTTGTCTTGGGTCCAAGGAGATTTTGCAGCTGAGAAGCTTTTCCTGTTCCCTCTTTTCTCAATGGCTATGAAGGTCAGAACAAACACAACCCCCAGTCCAATGGCCTATGTTGAAGGCACAGAGTCTTCCTTTTGATGCCAAAGGACCGGTTTGAAGGCGCTTGGGTCTCCTCAACGTTGTCCAGGGCGATCTGGGCATGAAGTATCAGTCCCAAGGGTAAAAACCTTAGAATTGGTGATGAGAGGTAACTTAATCAAGGGCTTCAGAGCCAAGTCTCTCTCTCACGTCCATCCGATAGAAAGTTTGATGGTAGAATGAAAAGAAAGCCCTGCCCTCTTCCCCAGGAAGGGGAGGAGCCAAACAATTAAGCAGGGAGGCAATTCAACATGATGAGAAGTAACTTAATTAAGGGCTTTAGAGCCAAGTCTCTCTCTCACATCCATCCGATAGAAAGTTTGATGGTAGAATGAAAAGAAAGCCCTGCCCTCTTCCCCAGGAAGGGGAGGAGCCAAACAATTAAGCAGGGAGGCAATTCAACATGATGAGAAGTAACTTAATTAAGGGCTTTAGAGCCAAGTCTCTCTCTCACATCCATCCGATAGAAAGTTTGATGGTAGAATGAAAAGAAAGCCCTGCCCTCTTCCCCAGGAAGGGGAGGAGCCAAACAATTAAGCAGGGAGGCAATTCAACATGATGAGAAGTAACTTAATTAAGGGCTTTAGAGCCAAGTCTCTCTCTCACATCCATCCGATAGAAAGTTTGATGGTAGAATGAAAAGAAAGCCCTGCCCTCTTCCCCAGGAAGGGGAGGAGCCAAACAATTAAGCAGGGAGGCAATTCAACATGATGAGAAGTAACTTAATTAAGGGCTTTAGAGCCAAGTCTCTCTCTCACATCCATCCGATAGAAAGTTTGATGGTAGAATGAAAAGAAAGCCCTGCCCTCTTCCCCAGGAAGGGGAGGAGCCAAACAATTAAGCTGGGGAGGCAATTCAACAGATGCAAACAATATTGATTGACAGCTACAAATAACCAATCAATCCAACTATATATTTACAAAGTAAGCAAGTATGGGCATGTTATACAGTTTAAACCTTTGCACTTTAATGTTCTACACACAGGTGGTGCCACTCGCACCGTCACAACACACATACACATAGGGGATGGGGAATGGGGCGAGGGAACATACAAGGAATTCATAGGAAGAGAGGGGGAATCATGCAGGATTTAAGGGAAAGTCACGTCAGCCCCGCAAAGTCCATAAAAGTTCATAAAGTTTGGCAAGAGTTCCTATAAAGTTCATGAAAGTTCATGGAAAGTCCACAAGAGTTGGGCCATGGGGCCATGGAAAAAGCCTTAGGTTCCCACATGGGGGAGAGATAGGGGATTACGGGATCGTTCCAACCTGGTGTCCTTGGCAAAACTACGAATTCCCCGATTTTGAACTATCTTTTACAGAGTCCTGGGGCAGGGGGCACCTCCGATCTCACAACCCCCAGGATGCCATAGCACTGAGTCATGGCAATTCAAGTGGCTAATGATCCATGGCACCCTTTGATTTGCACCTTCACAGGCTAATTTGGCCCCTCTCTTTCTCTCATTCAGGTCCTGCGCAACTTCAAGATCGACACGGTCTCCAAGGCGGATCTGAACACGGTCTACAGGTTCATCCTGATGCCGGAGAAGCCCCCTTTGCTCACCTTCCGGCCCATTGACTAAGCAGAGCGGAGGGAGTGGGCCACCAAAGGGGCACGACTCTCACGGATATTATGCACCTCTACTGCTCCATTTGACTCTGCCCAGGCAAAAGAGTGCCTTCTCGAGAATCCTTGGGCTGGAAAGGTCCTCCAATGGCCATCTAGTCCACCCCCCTAATGCCATGCAGACACGCACAACTCAAGCACTCTCGAAAGATGCCCATCTGATCCCTATATAAAGATCTAAGAACATTGCGAAGTCTTGCAATCTTATAGCTGGAAGGGGCCTCCAAAGACCATCTAGTCCAGCCCTCTAGTGTCATGCAAGCAGGCATGCCCAACTCAAGCACTCCCAAAAGATGCCCATCTGACCTCTATATGAAGGCCCAAGAACACTGTGGAGTCTTGCAATCTTATAGTTGGAAGGGGCCTCCAAAGACCATCTAGTCCAGCCCTCTAGTGTCATGCATGCAGGCATGCCCAACTCAAGCGCTCCCAAAAGATGCCCATCTGACCTCTATATGAAGGCCCAAGAACACTGTGGAGTCTTGCAATCTTATAGTTGGAAGGGGCCTCCAAAGACCATCTAGTCCAGCCCTCTAGTGTCATGCATGCAGGCATGCCCAACTCAAGCGCTCCCAAAAGATGCCCATCTGACCTCTATATGATCTAAGAACACTGCAGAGTTTTGCAATCTTATAGTTGGAAGGGGTCTCCAAAGACCATCTAGTCCAGCCCTCTAGTGTCATGCAAGCAGGCATGCCCAACTCAAGCACTCCCAAAAGATGTCCATCTTTTGTAAAGATCTAAGAACATTGTTGAGTCTTGGGATCTTAAAGCTCCCAAGGCCATCTAGTCGAGCTCCCTAGTGCCATGCATGCAGGCATGTCCAACTCAAGCACTCCCAAAAGATGCCCCTCTGACCTCTATATAAAGGCCTAAGAACACTGAGGAGCCTAGCAATCTTATAGTTGGATGGGGCCTCCAAAGACCATCTAGTGTCATGCAAGCAGGCATGCCCAACTCAAGCACTCCCAAAAGACGCCCATCTTTTGTAAAATCTAAGAACACTGTGGAGTCTTGTAATCTTAAAGCTGGAAGGGGTCTCCAAAGACCATCTAGTCCAGCCCTATAGTGCCATGCATGTAGGTATGCCCAACTCAAGCACTCCCAAAAGATGCCCATCTGACCTCTATATAAAGGCCTAAGAACACTGCGGAGTCTAGCAATCTTATGGTTGGAAGGGGCCTCCAAAGACCATCTAGTCCAGCCCTCTAGTGTCACGCAAGCAGGCATGCCCAACTCAAACACTCCCAAAAGATACCCATCTTTTATAGATCTTCCCCAACTCAAGCACTCTCAAAAGATGCCCATCTGACCTCTATATAAAGGCCCAAGAACACTGCGGAGTCTAGCAATCTTATGGTTGGAAGGGGCCTCCAAAGACCATCGAGTCCAGCCCTCTAGTGTCATGCAAGCAGGCATGCCCAACTCAAGCACTCCCAAAAGATGCCCATCTTTTGTAAAGATCTAAGAACATTGTTGAGTCTCTTGGGATCTTAAAGCTCCCAAGGCCATCTAGTCGAGCTCCCTAGTGCCATGCATGAAGGCATGCCCAACTTAAGCACTCTCATAAGATGCCCATCTGACCTCTATATAAAGGCCTAAGAACACTGAGGAGTCTTGCAATCTTATAGTTGGAAGGGGCCTCCAAAGACCATCTAGTCCAGCCCTATAGTGCCATGCATGTAGGTATGCCCAACTCAAGCACTCCCAAAAGATGCCCATCCGATCACTATGTAAAGGCCTAAAAACACTGCAGAGTGTTGCAATCTTATAGTTGGAAGGGGCCTCCAAAGACCATCTAGTCGAGCTCCCTAATGCCATGCATGCAGGCATGCCCAACTCAAGCACTCCCAAAAGATGCCCATCTGGCCTCTATAAAGGCCCAAGAACACTGAGGAGTCTTGCAATCTTATAGTTGGAAGGGGTCTCCAAAGACCATCTAGTCCAGCCCTCTAGTGCCATGCATGCAGGCATGCCCAACTCAAGCACTCCCAAAAGATGCCCATCTGATCACTATGTAAAGATTTAAGAATGCTACTAACGCTAGAAGGGGCCTCCACAGGCCATCTAGTCAAGCTCCCTAGTGCCATGCATGTAGATATGCCCAACTCAAGCACTCCCAAAAGATGCCCTTCTTAACTCTATATGAAGGCCTAAGAACACTGTGGAGTCTTGGGATCTTAGAGTTGGAAGGGTCCTCCAAAGGCCACCTAGTCCAGCCCCTAATGCTTTGCAGGCACTACCAACTCAAGCATTCTCCAAAAAACCCTGGGGTTTTGGGATCTTCGAGTTGGGTCCTCCAAAGGCCATCTAGTCCAGCCCCCTAATGTCATGGAGGCACATTCAACTCAAGCACTCTAAAAGAAAATGCCCATCTGATCCCTATTGATAGATCTAAGAACAACATGGAGTCTTGGGATCTTAGAGTTGGATAGGATCCAACGAGGCCATCTATTCCAACCCCCTTGCCTTGAAGGAACGCACAACTAACCCGCCCCTCCCAAAGTATTAGTCTGCACAGGATCATCTTGCAAAATGGTGGTGTTCAATGGCAGATCTTCAGAGTTGATGGAAATTGACACAAAGCCGTAGAGCCAGCAATAGGTCCAAAGGATTTATTTTCAGGGAGCCTTTGCTTCTTGCATGGTCTCCTTGAACCCAGAACAACCTAGTTGGGTTTTTTTTCCCCCCTTTGAGGCAAACAGTGCAACCGAGTTCGGATTCGGAGGGTCTGCAAGAGTGGAAATTACCCCCTTCTTCATTTATTTTGAACCGTTCCTGTCTTCAATCGCAAAAGAAATAGTTTGGGGGTGAGCTGGGAGTAATGGGGCCAGAGAATAAAAAAGTTACCTCAAGAGACTAAAGTTTGTTTGTTTATTTATTTATTTAGGGCTTTTCTATCCCGTCCTTTCTCAACCTCGGCAGAGAGACTCAGGACGGCTAACAAAGTGGCACCCCATGGTGCCCACATCAAAACATAAATATACAATTAACAGCAATGTAATAATAACAATATAAAACAGTATAAAACCATATAAACAATATAAAAACAATATAAAAACAGACAACCAATAGTCAGCGGTCACAGATTTAAATCATTATCCAAGGGCAGTCCATCAATTGAAGAGAGATATTGACAAGCTGGAATGTGTCCAGAGGAGAGCGACTAAAATGATAAAAGGTCTGGAGAACAATCCCTATGAGGAACGGCTTAAGGAGCTGGGCATGTTTAGCCTGAAGAAGAGAAGGCTGAGAGGAGATATGAGAGCCATGTATAAATATGTGAGAGGAAGCCACAGGGAGGAGGGAGCAAGCTTGTTTTCTGCTTCCTTGGAGACTAGGACACGGAACAATGGCTTCAAACTACAAGAGAGGAGATTCTATCTGAACATGAGGAAGAACTTCCTGACTGTGAGAGCCGTTCAGCAGTGGAACTCTCTGCCCCGGAGTGTGGTGGAGGCTCCTTCTTTGGAAGCTTTTAAGCAGAGGCTGGATGGCCATCTGTCAGGGGTGATTTGAGTGCAATATTCCTGCTTCTTGCCAGGGGGTTGGACTGGAAGGCCCATGAGGTCTCTTCCAACTCTTAGATTCTATGATTCTATGAATTCTAAATAAGTCAACATGTCAGTAGGTCGGCCTATTCTCCAAAGGCCTGATCCCATAGCCAGGATTTTACTTGTTTCTGGAAGGTCAAGAGGGATGCAGCAGGCCTAATTTGACTTGGGAGGGAGTTCCATAGTCAGGGGGTCACCACAGAAAAGGCCCTGTCATTTGTCCCCACCAGACGCGATTGTAACAATGGGGGGGACAACGAGCAGGGTCTCCTCAGATGATCTTAGGGCCCGAGGTGGATTGTAGCGGGAGATATGTCCGGACAAGTAAACTGGGCCAGAACCATTAAGGCAGCGTTTCTCAGCCTGGGGGTGGGACCCCTGGGAGGGTTGTGAGAGGGTGGTAGAGGGCATCAAAAGTGGACCAAGCCAGAGCAGCTGTGGCCAAACTCCACAATCATAGAATCCTAGAATCAAAGAGTTGGAAGAGACCTCCTGGGCCTTTATCCAGTCCAACCCCATTCTGCCAAGAAGCAGGAATATTGCATTCAAATCACCCCTGACAGATGGCCATCCAGCCTCTGCTTAAAAGCTTCCAAAGAAGGAGCCTCCACCACACTCCGGGGCAGAGAGTTCCACTGCTGAACGGCTCTCACAGTCAGGAAGTTCTTCCTCATGTTCAGATGGAATCTCCTCTCTTGTAGTTTGAAGCCAATGAGACCCAATGAATGAGACCCAATGAATACTCGGGCACCTAATGAAGGACACACTCAATTAAAGCTTTGAAGCCAAGGACTTGAAGTGGCTGCTGCAGCGGATCTCTTGTTGGCATTTCTTTGGTGGGGATTTGGTTTTCCCGGCACCTTGGAGAATAATAATAAACCATTTAGAAACTATTTTCAACTGGTCATTGGGTGCCTCTGTCTCAGGCCAGCCTTCCTTCTCCTCCAGGCCAACATCCTAAACGAGAAAGACAGAGAGCCAGGCATTTACAGTGAGGTGGATCTGTAATTGGTTAAATAGACGAACCCAGAGGGTGCTCACCAATGCTTCCTCTTCATCCTGGAAAGAAGTGACAAGTGGAGTGCCGCCGGGTTCCGTCCTGGGCCCGGTCCTGTTCAGGATCTTCATTAATGACTTAGATGAAGGGCTAGAAGGCAGGATCATCAGGTTTGCAGACGACACCAAATTGGGAGCCAATACTCCAGAGGACAGGAGCAGGATTCAAAGGGATCTTGACAGATTAGAGAGATGATTGGCCAAAACTAACAAAATGAAGTTCAACAGGGACAAATGCAAGATACTCCACTTTGGCAGGAAAAACGAAATGCAAAGATATAGAATGGGGGACGAGGCCTGGCTCGAGAGCAGGGCGTGTGAAAAAGATCTTGGAGTCCTCGTGGACAACAAGTTAAACATGAGCCAACAATGTGATGTGGCGGCAAAAAAAGCCAATGGGATTTTGGCCTGCATCAATAGGAGCATAGTGTCTAGATCTAGGGAAGTCATGCTCCCCATGCTCTATTCCACTTTGGTTAGACCACTTTACCTGGAATATT